CTTATCCACTAAGATCAAGTTGGCTTCATCCCTGGGATGAAAGGCTGGTTCAACATACACAAATCAATAAACGTAATCCATGACATAAACAAGACCAATGACAAAAATCACATGATTACCTCAATAGATGCTGAAAAGACCTTCTATAAATTTCAACAGCCCTTCATGCTAAAAACTCTCAATAAACTAGGTATGGATGGAACGTATCTCAAAATAATAAGAGCTATTTATGACAAACCCGCAGCCAATATCATACTGAATGGGCAAATACTGGAAGCATTCCTTTCGAAAACTGGCAAAAGACAGGGATGCCCTCTCTCACCACTCCTATTCAACATAGTGTTGGAAGTTCTGGCCAGGGCAATCAGGCAAGAGAAAGAATATTCAATTAGGAAAAGAGGAAGTCAAATTGTCCCTGTTTGCAGATGACAGGATTGTGTATTTAGAAAACCCCATCGTCTCAGCCCCAAATCTCCTTAAGCTGATAAGCAACTTCAGCAAAGGATACAAAATCAATGTGCAAAAATCACAAGCATTCCTATACACCAATAACAGAGAGAGAGCCAAATCATGAGTAAACTCCCATTCACAATTGCTACAAAGATAATAAAATACCTAGGAATCCAACTTACAAAGGATGTGAAGAACCTCTTCAAAAATAACTATGAATCACTGCTCAACCAAATAAGAGGACACAAACAAATGGAAGAACATTCCATGCTCATGGATAGGAAGAATCAATATCGTGAAAGTGGCCATACTTCCCACAGTAATTTATAGATTCAATGCCATCCCCATCAAGTTACTAATGACTTTCTTCACAGAATTGGAAAAAACTACTTTAAAGTTCATATGGAACGAAAAAAGAGTCTGCATTGCCAGTCAATCCTGAGCAAGAAGAACAAAGCTGGAGATATCACACTACCTGACTTCAAACTATACTACAAGGCTACAGTAACCAAAACAGCATGGTACTGGTACCAAAACAGAGATATGGACCAATGGAACAGACCAGAGGCCTCAGAAATAACACCACACATCTACAACCATCTGATCTCTGACAAACCTGACAAAAATAAGAAGTGGGGAAAGGATTCCCTATTTAATAAATGGTGCTGGGAAAACTGGCTAGCGATATGTAGAAAGCTGAAACTGGATCCTTTCCTTACACCTTATACAAAAATTAATTCGAGATGGATTAAAGACTTAAATGTCAGACCTAAAATCATAAAAACCCTAGAAGAAAACCTAGGCAATACCATTCAGGTCATAAGCATGGGCAAGGACTCCATGACTAAAACACCAAAAAGCAATGGCAACAAAAGCCAAAATTGACAAATGGGATCTGATTAAACTAAAGAGCTTCTGCACAGCAAAAGAAACTACCATCAGAGTGAACAGGCAACCTGCAGAATGGGAGAACGTTTTTGCAATCTACTCATCTGACAAAGGGCTAATATCCAGAACCTACAAAGAACTCAAACAAATTTCCGAGATAAACAACCCCATCAGACAGTGGGCAAAGGATATGAACAGACACTTCTCAAAAGAAGACATTTATTCAGCCAACAGACACATGAAAAAATGCTCATCGTCACTGGTCATCAGAGAAATGCAAATCAAAACCACAATGAGATACCATCTCACACCAGTTAGAATGGCAATCATTAAAAAGTCAGGAAACAACAGGTGCTGGAGAGGATGTGGAGAAATAGGAACACTTTTACACTGTTGGTGGGACTGTAAACTAGTTCAACCATTGTGGAAGACAGTGTGGCAATTCCTCGAGGATCTAGAACTAGAAATACCATTTGACCCAGCCATCCCAATACTGGGTACCCAAATGATTATAAATCATGCTACTATAAAGAAACATGCACACATGTGTTTATTGCAGCACTATTCACAACAGCAAAGACTTGGAACCAACCCAATTGTTCATCAGTGATAGATTGGATTAAGAAAATGTGGCACATATACATCATGGAATACTATGCAGCCATAAAAAGGATGAGTTCATGTCCTTTGCAGGGACACGAATGAAGCTGGAAACCATCATTCTGAGCAAACTATCACAAGGACTGAAAACCAATCACCACATGTTCTCACTCATAGGTGGGAATTGAACAATGAGAACACTTGGACACAGGGTAGGGAGCATCACACACTGGGGCCTGTCTTGGTGTGAGGGGAGCGAGGGTGGGATAGCATTAGGAGAAATACCAAATGTAAATGATGAGTTAATGGGTGCAGCAAACCAACATGGCACATGTATACCTATGTAACAAACCTGCACGTTGTGCACAAGTACCCTAGAACTTAAAGTATAATAATAATAATAAAAAAGAAATTGCCAACCCTACTCAACAGCTGTTGGAAAAAAATTATCTATCCTAATTTTTTTGCCTTTACATGTGTAGGAATGATCAGTACTTAAGAACAAATGTGTATCTCCAGGCTGGAGATCTTCATTTGGATATATGGTAATTTCCTTAAACTTAACATGTCCAGACTGAACTTCTGATCCTCCCTCCCCATCCAAACCCATATCAATATCACAAATACCCAATTAATATCTCTTGGACAGCAACTCTACCCTTCTGGTCACTATGTAAAAGCATTGGAGTATCTTGTTGACACTTACTTCTCTCCCGCCCTACTTCCAATTATCAGGAAATCTTCTTGTGAAACTTTAAAATATATTTCAAATCTCATTCTTTATTACTACTTCTAACAACTCTCATCTTGTCAATTTTTTCATTTTTTGGCTGGATTAGGTAATAAACACCCCAGTCACATTTCCTGATTTAACTTTCTTCCATCTGTTACTACTTTCAAGATAGATGTCAGGGAGATCTTTTCAAAATATTGGTTCACATAACTCAAAACCCTGTAGGGACTCCCTGCTTCACTGAGGGTAAAAACCAATATTCTGACCATGCTCTGAAAGGATCTATATGATCAAAATCTTGACCTCTGTTCCTACCTGGTCTGATCTCCCTCACATTTTCCAGCTGGGTACCTGCTTTCTTGCTGCTTCTGTAACACATTAGGTTGTGAAGCATCCTCTGTCCTCAGGTTCTTCACTCTGTCTGCTACTTCTGTCTGGAACCCTTTACACACTCCTCCTTCCCCTTAAATCCCCTTGGCTAGCTTTCTTACCTCTCTCCTCAAATCTTTGTCCTCTCAGCCGTACTACGTTGAACCTGACATTTAAGACTGTGGTCTGTCCCCATCCCACTACTCTAAATCTTCCTTATCCTGCTGTACCCTTTTCTGAATGCACATATCATCTTTTCAAATTTTATATAACTTACTTCTTTATTATTTACCATATTTTTCTTATTTCCTCTTTCTATCAGAAAGTTATAGTTATATGATGATGGAATTTTTGTTAATGTATCCCAAATACTTTGTTTGGTATCTAGTAAATAGACAATGAATATTTGTGAAATGCATGGACGACATATGTATTATTCTGTTCTCATGCTGCTATAAAGAGCTGCCTGAGACTAGGTAATTGATAAAGGAAAGAGATTTAATTGACTCACATTCCACATGGCTGGGAAGGCCTCAGTAAACTTACAATCATAGTGGAAGGGGAAGCAAACATCCTTCTTCACATGCCAGCAGGAAGGAGCAGTGCTGAGCAAAGGGCGAAAGCCCCCTATAAAACCACCAGATCTTGTGAAAACTCACTCACTATCATGAGAACATAATGGGGGAACCCGCCCCCATGATTCGGTTATTTCCACCTGGTCCCACCCTTGACATGTGGGGATTATTATGATTCAAGGTGAGATTTGAGTGGAGATGCCTAGCCAAACCTTATCAGCATATTAAGCCTTCTTGAGGTATTCGTTTGTTTAAAAAGTTTCTTACTTATCTATAGGAATCAGTCTTCAATAACAAACTTTCATGTGGTGTGGCAGATTTCTGGGAGATATCCTGAGGCTTTTTCACTACTCCTCCTGTTAAACAATTTGCATTTTTGAAACTTCAGAATTAAAATTTGAGTCAAAAATATATATCGGCAAAACTATTAGTAAGTTTAATGTATATATTATGTTATAAAATATATATACAAACATGAGAAACTGTTTTAATAAATTATTGGGGGATGTGATTATTAGTAACAGCTCCCAAAAGACATTACAGCTTTGTGGTTAAGATCATAGGCTCTGTATTTCAGTTAAATCTTAGTTATACTACTTCCTAGTATAAACTTAGATGAGTTATTGGAACTCTCTCTGCCTCTGTAAAAACTGGACTTTCCTACAGTTGCGTACCGCAGTAAGTTTATGATAGCTACAGGGGAGAAACATAATGAGTTATATACTTATTATCTGTAAAATAATATATTCAGATTGTGTGTGGAGGTTTTTATTTTGGGGATATTAAAAGTTCTTATGTCAGACACTGAATTGTACATTAGGTGAGTCTTCAGTTATCATACTTATTTAAATTCACAAGTAAACATTTTATATATTTATGGTATACAACACGATGCTTTAAGATATGTATACACACACTGTGGAACGGCTAAGTCAGGCTAAATAATATACGCATTACTCCACATACTTATTTTTTGTGGCAAGAACACTTAAAATCGATTCTATTAGCAATTTCCAAGTATATAATACATTGCTATTAACTATGGTTGAAATGTTGTATGATATATCTCTTGAACTTATTCCTCCTGTCTAACTGAAATTTTGAATAGTTTGATCAGCATCAAAGGATACAATCAGCCCACCCCAGTCCCTGGTAACTATGATATTCTACTCTCTGCTGCTGTGACTTTGACTTTTTAGGCTACACAAATAAGTGAGATCATGCACTTTCTGTGTTTTTCTGTGTCTGACTTATTTCATGTAGCATGATGTCTTCCAGGCTTATCATTGTTATAGCAAATGACAGGATTTCCTTCTTTTTAAAGGTGGACTAGTATCCCATTGTGTATTTATACCACATTTTCTTTATTTGTTCATCTGTTTTAGGCACTTAGCTTGATTCCATATCTTGGCTGCTGTGAACAGTGATGCGGAAATCATGGGAGTGCCAACAATTCTTCAACATACTGATTTCATTTCCTTTGGGTATGTACCCAGTAGTGAGATTGCTGGATTATATGGTAGTGATCATGTTTTAGACTTGATGATAATAGTTTATATCTCCTCAGGTTGTTGTAAGAAATAAAATAATGTTTATAAAGTACTCAGATCAGCACACGGTACCTAGTTTAAGTGTTCAGTATTTATTGAACAAAAGGAAAGAAAAGAATGCAAAACAAAATAGAGCATACAAACAAGTTATTTAATCAAACATAGCACTTTATTGAAAAATATGTCAACTATTTCATTCTTGTACTAAAATATATTTTGATAATATATGTATCACTTTATTCTTTAAGATTTAAATCTATCATATTTGCTATGCAAAGAAAGAGCTAAATATAACTATGTTGGTTCCTCCACTGACATATATGTGTAGACATACAAAAGACATATATGTCTTTTTGTTACAACAAAGACAGCATTTGTTGTTGGCAAGCTATACAGAAATGCATGATGAAGGCAGAAAGAAAATATCAAGGAAACAAGTCATATCCTTTTAAGGACAAAGCTTTTCTTGTGAACAGTAACACCCAACACCACAGGATATCCAATTAACCTGTTTGAAGAAAAGTTCCCGTCGTTGAAGGATGTGAAGTATATTTCACTCTTAAAAGTGTAGTGGTCTTCCTATCTTTAACCTCATGCTTCCTTTTATGTTTCATTGGTTTTTCAAATTCTCTGTATCCTCCCAGAAAAAACGAAATAACCACAAAAAAATAAATGAAGAAAAGAAACCCAGACACAACATTTAAGGTTAAAGAGTAAATTGTACAAAGGAATTGAAGAATTCAAGAGAGATCTTAACTCACTTCCTCAAAGGATTTAAATTTTTATTTGAAGTCATTCTATGCATTAAAATATCCAACATTTTTATTACAGTGAATAATCATTGTGAAGTGGGGGAAGAGAAAGGAGGAAGAAGATACTATGTTTAATTCTTTTCATTGTGGTTAACATTACTGTGGTAGATGTTAGTGGTTGTAAATGGGATGAAACTTACGGAGGGCTGCTGAGTTGCTGGTCAAATTTCATCTCTTGATTTATGAGGTCCTTATTTTGCTTACTTTGTAATCATTACGTATAATTCATCAAGCTCTACATGAATAATTTGTATGCTTTTCTTTATATCTAGTATATTTTAATTAAAAGTTCATGTGCAAATAAAGAATTAAAGAGAGCTCCAAATGTATTAAAAAGAGCAAATAATTAAATTTCATCCTGGGCTGTACTGCAGTTGGTTACTGCAGTTAGCTTGTTATAGCTATGGGGGAAAAACATAATACTTCCTTTTACCTGGAGATGTAAAATAACTAAATTTGTGTGTGGGAGTTTACCTTTTTGGACTACATGTTCTGTGTGAGCCAATAAATTGTATAGTAGGCGAGTCTTCAATGATCGTATTTTAAAGACACATTGCTCAAATTTACATTGTTCTTACTTGATCCTCTATAAAAGTAGGAACATACCATTAAATCTTAACTCATTTGACATCATGCTGCAGGAAGATAAGGTATTAAAATGTGGGTATATTTCTTTCTGTTGATTTAACATTATAAGGCATAAAACTGTGATATCCAAGACAATAAATAGTAAACACATTCATTATTGTCTATTTTTAAAACGTCAGTTATCTTAGAAGTTATTTATTTTCCAATGTTGTGGATATTGAAGTTAATTTCTCTGATTAATGTCAAAAATCGTCTGCTGTAGGGAAGAAGGGCTGATATTCTTTAACTTTTTGAAAGATTGTAGGTAAAGATTTCTTTGGAAACCTAGGAGCCACACAGAAAGGGACTTGAATTATACTAAAAATCAAACTCCTTTTTCAGAAAGATCAAGGGACTATAAAAGAGCTTTGCCCAGCCTGGAACACTCCTTTCCTAAGTCCTTATCTGTCTCAATTCTTTCTTGAATATCTATTGGTATTCACCTTCTCCAGAAAGTTTTTTGGATTTCCTGGCTAACTCAGCTCTACATTTCTATAGTTAAAACCCCTAGCACTACAGTTTATAAACAAAAATATCACAAAGATTGGTTTGCTTGTCCTCAACATATAGTCAATAGGTGTTTGGTGAGTGAAAAAGTTGTCAGTTGGGGCTATTGACCTTCAGAGGGGGAACTGTTATACCGGCTTGCTAATAGTCAGAAACTGTCTAGCGGTAGTAGACATTCTCAATGCCTAATAATTATTTTAATTATTTAAGAGTACCAAGAAAGAAGAGATAAAAGAAAGAAAAAAGAAAGCGAAAGGGAAAGGAAAGGAGAGGAAAAGAAAGAAAATTTAGTTGAGCAGGGTTGACAAGTCTCTAAAAGCAGGTCATGGTGCAAATTCTTGTGTGCCTGACACAGAAAAATAAGTAGCTTACTATTGACCAATGGTAATTTCATTCTTAAATTAAGACATAGGCAATGAAACGTAGACCATGAGCACATTTTCTGTCTTTGAGTTCTACATGCATGAAATGAATCTTTGAGGGACATTCCACCGGGCCAAAGTCTAGGCTAAAAGATCTTTTAAAAGGTATAAAAATGAGAACTATTTTAATTTTTTTAAAATTAAGAATAGGCTGCAAGAAGTTATAGCAGAGAAAAGGTAAAGAATTATATCCTAAAGTATGAATCACATGTGTCTTGAGTTTATGAATTTTTAAAGTTTAATCCCTGAATTGAATTAGAATTCACCGTCTATTAATTTTATTCTAAAATCCCCCTCTAATTTCATAAGCCAGTTTTACAAGCTTTTGGTTTAATTTATAATTGTGTAAGAAAATTGTAGTTCTTCAAATCATATTAAGAACAAATTTAAACCAACCAATCCAAACAACAAAAAACAAAAAGAGAATGTACAGAAAGACAGAGAGAAAGAGATTGACAAAAATGGGAAGGCATCTAGAATTCATGTTGCATAGAAACTTGGGCTGGAAAAAGAGGACTGAAATGGAATATGATTGATAACTTCACAAAGTAGGCACAAATTGGAAGTCAACACAGGCTGGCTTCATTTCAATATTGATAACTTTCAAAGCATCAGAGCTGTGCAGCACCAGGCAGAAGGACCTCATGAAGGAAGGCACACTCATTACTGGAAATGTTCAAACAGGGCCTGGGTGACCACCTCTCTTGGTGTTGGAAGGCCAAGACTTTGAGAAGTCATTCGATGAAATTTCTTCTAATTTTTAGATTCTATAGAATGTACTATCCCACAGAGGACATGGGAAAACACCTCTCTATTTCCTTATTCTTTCATTTTCTCACATCAAACCAAATAGAATTGGTAAAATCTATCTTAGAATGAATAACAGAGAGTATTATGACACATTTCCTAAGTAGCTAAAATCTATAATGCTCCAAACAGAATAAATGCTAGGCTCAAATCCCTAAATCAGATGGAGAAAGGAAGATATCCAGGTCTATCTTTTATAAAATTTAAAATATTATATTTGATATATTGCTGATTTTCTACCATTTTATTAGCTATAATGGTTATTACCGTTGTAAGTTTTAATATGTCTATATATATATATATATATATATATATGTTCTAAAAGAAAAGATGAGTTTAAGTGATGCGGGACTTATTAGTTCTGTAGAACATATTAACCATTGCACTATTTTCTCTTTTGTCCTTATTCAGGAACTAATTGTATATCATACTGAAAAGAAGAAATTATAAGATCTAAAAACAGGCCTAACTGTCCAGAGGCAGAAGGAGATAGGTCCCATGGTGCTGACTTGTACCTTGTTAGGGTGGTTCACTAAATCGTGCTTATGGGGGTGTTTGAAATACATTTTCAATTAATTTAACAGGTGTTTGTGTGCCTTTAAGGGATCGAGGGTAGAAAGGGAAACACACTATGTTATTTTTTCACTAAGAGTCACAGTCAGTGGGAGAAACAGACAGGTGAACCTAGAATTACAGTATGTTAAGACAGACACAATAATAGAAGTACATCAAATTGCTGCAGATCAGAGAGGAGGGGCATGTATTCCAAAAGGAAAGTCAGGAAGGCTTCATGGAAAATGTGAGATTTGAGCTCCAAATTTGGAAGAGTGAATTCATGTGGGCTACATGAAGAGGAATGAAAGGATTCCAGCAGTAGAATGATTCAGAGGTATCAGTCTGATACTGTCAGGTAACTGATGCTGCAAGAAAGTGCTGAACCAGTCATGAAATGGAGAGTGAAGCAGGTGAATGGACAGCTGGGAGCTCAATAAAATGGGTTGTTGGCTGGAAGGGGAGGGCATAAACGTAGGGTTGAAATAGGACCATTAAAGGCAAGCCTGATATAAGAGTGGGTTGAAGGGCAGACTGAGAACTAATCTTCAGAATATTACTTTTTTTACTTTTATTATATAAAGCTTTCTCTAGTGTGTGGCTTCATGGCTTTATGGGTCATGGAATGTCTTTCGACCAGCATCAGACACCCAGGTGGCAGCCTCAAATAGCACTGCCTGTGTCCTGCTGGAAAAGCCAGATGTTGGCTTGTTGCTTTTTTTGCATGAATTTTATAAAATTGCAGAAAATTCTGGGGAAATGGAACTTTGATTACTCATATTTTTCTGCCCATGGGGAGAATGTGATTTTAGAAGAGATGAAAGATATGATATACTTGATCATACGTTATTTTTCATGATATATTATTGATTATATGCAATAATAAATTAAAAAGTAATAAGGAATCAATGCTTTATTTCCATGAAGAGGGATCTTAGCTGTGATTCCATAAAGGTGGCAGGGTGTTTTTCGGGAGGATTGTGGAGATGGATGGTAGCCTTCTGCTCTTGGTTGTCTTCTTGCCTGGTTGCTCACTATTCCCTTTGCTTTTATTTCTGTTTATTTATTTAATTTATAATTGATATATTATGGTTGTACATATTTTTGGGGTAAGTGTAATAATTTATACATGTACACAATGTGTATTGATCAAGTCAAGGCAATTGGGATATCCTTTTCAGATTTACTCCAGAGCAGATCCCCTGTGCACATCTAATTGAAGCAGGTGACCTGAATGGCTTTTAAGTTCACCTTAGCCTGACTAACCTTTAGCCTTCTTTCTGATGGCAGTCCCTGGTCTCTCTTTTCTTACAGCACTCATTAGTTGTAGAAAACTTGCAACTCTTTCTGTGCTCCTTTGAAATGTAAATCTTTAAAAAAGCCTCTTGCCCATTTTGTAATCCTGAATTGTTTTTCTCAAGGAGCTGAGAGTCCTCCTTTTGAAATGCAATTATCAAGAAAAATAGAGCTCCCATCTTTCTGGCTCTGTGTGGGGATAGGAGCCTAACTTTGATAAGCAAAAATAGGCGAACACAGAGGGTCTAATTGCATTGACCAATTCCCCACAGATGACTCCTGTACTTTTCCACTCGGTCACCTCAGCATTTAAAAGCTCTTCTAACTTTGGTTTCTGCAGAATTGAGTTCAGTCTGTTTCCCTTATTGCCATAATCTTGGCCCCTAATGCAATAGGTGTGGAATAAATCTCCCTTAGCTGTTTAACTTGTCCACTGCAACTTTTCTTTGACATACGGTATGCCTAGAATCACACTAAAAGCTGGTCACATAAATCTATGGCCAAAAGAGGGTTCAGGATAAGGTGAAATTGCCCCTAGCAGCAAGTGTTCATGCTAGGTGACTGGAGATTTTAGAAACCTAGGTAATGAACATAGTGTCTCTCTCCGAGTTCTGTGTGCACAAGGTGAATCTTTGAGGGATGTTCCACTGGGCCAAAGTCTAGGCCAAAAGATCTTTTAAAAGGTGTAAAAATGAGAACTGTTGGGGCAGAATGATTAGCTGTGTGAACTGAAAGTAAATATAGAATACTGGGATGGGACTGAAGGATGGAGATAATTATTCCGCTGCACATTCAAGGAGTTAAGTTGTTGTGTTCCGCCCCCCCCAGAGATAAGATGGAAAACTAAGTCATATATGGAACAAATCTCTTTTTATGATGGTAAAGTTTCTTTGAACTGCTTTTATGCCTTCCAACTAGTGAAGATAATTGGATAGGTTATTCAATGATTCTTATATGACAACTTTGCTTGCAAAAACAAAGTGGGTCAAAAATGCAAATATAGCATTCTGCTTTAATGCAAAGATGGGAAATAACATAAGCAATTATCTGACAAATGGCAGCTGTTTAAACTGCAGGGTACTAAACTGGTATCTTAGCAGGGGTGTCATTATCTATAGGCCATTAAAAGTTTGTTTCTTTATTATTTCATTTTTATTGGCTTTGGTTTTAAAAAGGGAAAGATAAACTCCCCAACTGAAGGCTTTAATACTTTTATTATATAAATGTTACTCTATTACCAAAAAGATATCTTGTTATTTGATTAAAGTTCTCAAAAGAGTAATCTCAACTTTTTATTATTTCTATTTAGAGA